GTCTTGCCCGGAGCAACTTTTTTGTTTCACTAGATGAAAAAAGTCCTCAAAAAGGAAACGTTTTGCCCATGTGGAAAAGGCGAAACAAAAAATGGCAGAAGCACTAAAAGGCATCATAATCACATAATCAAAGGGTTCAAAAACTGTTTTGAGCAGAGGAAAAAGCATCTCGATGGGTGTATTGCATCAAACAGAGAGTACTTTTAAGGTGGCTGAAATTTAAACATGTAAGAATACACAGTTTTTTGTAAATAAATTCCATTTTTTGCGGTCCTCCCTCATATCCATGTTAAATACTTGTATGTCCCTGTAGGTTGCGAATGCCTTCATCTTATCCATCTTTGTATTGTCACAATAGCGTAGGGGGCTTCAAAAGCAGTATATGTGATGGGCTATCACACTAAATATGTTAGGCTGAAAAACTTCTTTATGTGCCTAGGAAGATAAATATCAAATGACAGAGACAGAAACACTTAAACTTTGAGATGTTGTGGTCTAAATCTATCGAGCCATGTGTGTCATCCAATAAAGCAGTGCACTGTAAGGAGAGAGGCATTAGGCAAAATAAGAATCTGTCATCCTGAGATATAGGGCTGTGCTCCTTGGGATCCCTGGATCTGACTTTTGGTATGTCTTCCTAGTCTGTGACCTCCTCGAGGACAGGAACAGATCTTTTATTTGCTGTTTCTCTAATGCCTAGCACACTCCCTCACACACAGTTTCTGGCTCTTGAAAAATGTGTAGTAACTGCTGTACCAGGGCTCACCAGGGACCTCATGTGGTTCTTAGATTACAAATTGCATGTCTTCTGCTCCTGATCTCACTTTCTTCTTCAGTTTCCATCTCTGCCAGTTCCTGCTTTGCATCAGGTCCAGGGCTGGAGTCAGAAGCACAGCTGGGAGGGGAAGGGGATGAGTGTGGGAGCACATGTTCCAAAAAAGAGAAGGGATAGTTGTTAGATCTGTGAAATGGAATTTGAGGAAGCAACGTGAATGCAAAACCACGAGGCCTACAGAGAAGGTTGTCAGCAAGCGGCGTCAGTGGCTCAGGCCCACACAGGCTGGCCTCCGGGTGTTAGACCCTGACGCCCCTGGCCCCACTAGTCCAATGGAGGAGACAATTATATACCTTGTCTTCCTAGGGACTGAATACTTCTTCTTTTGAGTAGAGAACCAGGCCCTCTACAAGCAGAAGGGCCCGGTGGGCCCAAGCCGGACTTCCTTGGCCTACTCCAATCACATCCATATGTTGTTTCCTTTCATAATATTGAGACTGTGAAACACAGGGCTTCCTAGTTCAGTTCACATAGATCTGTTTCTGAGAATTCTTGAATCCTACAACCTGGGTCATGTACATAATAATTCCTGTTTTGGGACACTATGTGTGTGTGTTGAATCCCTTGCTAGAGGAGTAAGAACATTTTTGGAGTGTTCCAGAATCTCTTTTCACACTGCCCCCTAAACTGGGGCAGTCCTCCTGAAACCAATCTTTCCTTTAGCATCCTTCTTGGCCTCCTGTTGCACTTGACTTTGTAGTTACTCCCACCTTCCTAAGGTTGCTTCTTTGATATCGTCTTAGCCCAGGTGTTATTTCCTATTGTTGTAATGGAAAACCACAAATTTAGTGGCTTAAAATACGACACAATTTATTATCTTGTGGCTGTTCTGGAGGTCAGAAATTTCCAGTAGGACAGCAGGGCTGTGTTTCCTTCCCTTCTCCAGCACCTAGAGGCTGCCATGTTCCCCAGCTCTTAGCTGTTTGTCACCACAGCCTTGGCTTCCAGTCACATCTCTTCTGACTTTCCTGACTCTCTTAAAAGGACAACCTCACCAGACAGAGATCCTTTATTACATATGCAAACTCCCTCTCCATGTAAGGAATATGTGATGTTCACAGTTTCTGGGGACTGGGACATGGACATCTTTGGGGTGGACCTTATTCTATCGCATTAGGTTAGTTGTGAGCCCTAGACTTTTGAGACCTGGTCCTCCCTCTCCAGGACCGCTTCTAAGCCCTGCTCAATCTCAATTTTTTTTGTGTGACAACTCTTGTATGGATTTATCTACTTCTTTCTGTAGTTCTGCAAGTTTTTACTTCGTCAATTTTGAAGTTTTATTAGGTTCCTAAATATTGGGTTGTGTATCTTCTTGATTAACCCTTTTGTCATTATGAACCCTCATTTTCCTTGTTTATATTCTTTGTTCTGAAATCAACTTTGTCTATTATTCTCCCAATTTTCTTTTGATTAGTGTTAACTTGGGGTATCTTTTCCTATCCTTTTACTTTTACCTATTTGTGTCTTTGTATGCAAAGTGGCTGTCTGTATCTAGCATACAGTTTGGTTTCGCTTTTTAATCCAGTCTCACAACCTCTGCCTTTTAATTGGGATGTTTAGACCACATATGTTTAATGTAACTATTGATATATATATTTTAAAAAGACCTCCTGAAGGTAGACTGAAAACAGGAAAAACCGGTCTGTTTGCAGGAATCAAGTTAATTTAGAAATAACAGCTTAAACCAAGGAAATGGTCCTGGAGATGAAGTGGGAAAGGGATTGTATCTGAGATTTTAAAGGTGTACAATCAACAGAAATGGAGTTTGGATAGAGGTTTGTGAGTTACAGTGAAGGTACCTGGATGGATTGTAGTATCCAGAAAGGCATTGTTTTGTGGGTCTGGAGTTTTGTGATTGCCCAGTATTATACCAGCTCGTCTCCATTTTCCATCTTTACTCAGATATTGCTGAATCTAATGCAAAAGGTGCCAAAATATTATATCCCATAGTAAATCCCTAACATACAACAGAACTATCTCTGGGAAATTCATCTTTTCATAACGAGTGGGACCTAGAGCAGATTTACTCTGAAGTTGGTTAACATCTCATTAATTCTTCATAAATGAGAGCATTAGATTACAGATAACTCTGGGTTAAAGCAGAATAAAGAGAAGCGAGTGCCAGTGAGAGTTTAAGGAAGAAATGGATACTCTGTTGTACCATCCAGAACTCCCTTTGGGAACAACAGACTTACTCCTCCAGCTGCTGGGACTGCTGTTGGCAGAGAGACCTCAGCTATCAGCTTTCTTAAGGAATTGCTTCTGGCCAGGCTTGGTGGCTCAGCACTTTGGGAGGCTGAGGCAAGTGGATTGCCTGAACCTGTGGGTTCAAGACCAGCCCAGGCAACTTGATGAGACCTGGTCTCTACAATTAAAAAAAAAAAAAAAAAAAAAGAATTCAGTCAGATGCTCTAACCTAGCTTCATCAAGAAATTGCTTCCGCTGAAGTGGACTGCCTTGCTGGATGGCATGCCCTCTTCATGGGGCAGCCTCCATCCAATAACTGATTGAACACAGCTTCTGTGCCCTAACTTGGGACTATTCTAGGTCATCTGTGTTGAGGTCCCCAAGAGCACCTCCAAGTTTGAGGATTCACTAGGAGGACTCACATAATTCAGCATGAGATTGTAATCATAGCTATGATTCCAACAAAAGGATACAAAGAAAAAAACAATCAGCAAAGGAAAGAGGTATGGGTAGAGTCTGGAGGACACCAGGTATAAGCTTCCAAGAGTCTTTTCTCAGTGTAGTCACACAGGGCACACTTGCTTCTTACTGCATCGAATTGTGACAATATGTATGAAATGCTATCAGTGAAGCTCATTAAATAGTGTCCAAGATTTTCTTTGGGACTGGTCATATAGCCACCCTTTGTCTAATGCTTTCTCAAAATCCAGACTCTCAGAAGGAAAGCAGGTGTTCAGCATTAGCCACATTGTACAGTTTGGTGCAGTGAGCTACTCTTTTTCAGTTAGGGAATGGTGGGAACCCTCCCCAAATCCAAGTTCCCAAGTATCATCCAGGAATCAACTGTCCAGGCTGTTATGACGGCAGTCTCACATCTAATGTTAACTCATTTTCGCATACTACCCAGTTTTAGAGTTTTCTGTGGGGTTGGCCAAGGTGCCACCTTCACAGATCCACAAGTTCCAGGAGTGGTGCCCCCACCGTACCTCTCCATTCAATTCACTTTGGCCCCATGAAATATAGAACCTGCAAGATGATGGTGGACCAAGGTATACTCAATCAATGTGTAACCCTGACTACAGCTGCTGTGCCAGATGTGGTCTCTTTGTTATGCAGATTAACATGGCTATGCAAACATGCAAAGCAACCACTGATCTTTTCCATCCTTACTAGAGAAAAGAATCAGAAATAGCTCACATCCATATGGAATAAAACAACAATATACTGTCTCTCTCTATACACACACAGTATTATTATTGGATACAAATCTGTCGGGAATTCCTCTGCTGTCAACTGACCATAAACCATGGAGCACAGGTAACTTCAAAGTATGTACAATATAGTCTTTCCCTCAATGCTATGTAATGCTCTTGCTTCTGTTACAACTGAAAGAGACCTAGACCAGACAGACATTCTACAGAAAATCATTAGTTCACTCTGTTGATGGATTATGTTAATCCAATAGATAAGCAAGAAGTGACCAGTACATTGGAGGCCTTGATAAAGCACATGTGCTCCAGAGGGTGAGATAAAACCTAGAAAATTCAGGGGCCTCTATCATGAGTACAATTTCAAACAAGTGTCCAGTGATCTAGGGCATGCTAAGATAGTTTCTCTAAAGCAAAAGACAAATTATTACAACTTGTATGTCCCACTTTGAAGAAGCAAGCACAATGCCTCTTTGGATTCTGAAGGTAGCATATTTCACACAAAGGAATACTGCTTTCCCTTATAGACTGGGTGACACATAAGGCTGCCAGTTTTGAGTGAGAGCCAAAGCAGAGTAAGGCTCTATGGCAGGTCCATAGTGTAGTGAAAGCTGGCCTGCCACTGGGGTCATCTATCCTAGCAGAGCCCCTCTATTCAAGTTATTGTTGGAGGGAAAAGATGTGGAATAAAGTAAAACTCTATAATGTACTCTTCATTTTTCTCTGCCCATTTTATTGAACAACTGAATGTATAAAAACCACATAACACATTACTGGAGAAAATATTTTATTTTTCAAATAAATAATGGATGGATTTTTCACTCCAGTTATTTCTGTAATAATTTTATCCTTTAATTAAAACTAAATATGTTTAATACATTTCACTTCTTCTCAAATTAAAGACCAAAAATACCTTTAGCAACTAAAGTCTATTTCCAGAAATTTAAACTTGATATGGAGAAAAATTTCACACATCAAGTTCTTTGTACCCGGCCTGGTGCTGAGGTTGAACTGGTGGAATGATGGGTTCAGGATCCAGAGGCCACTCTGAGATTTAAAGTAAAGTGGACACTTTGGTTGCCTGAGGAACTTCTTGATGACGAGAACTTGGGTTTTGCTTTAGACAGGTCAGTTCTTTCCTGGGCTAGGCTGGGACCTCTGGGAACAGAGGACCAAGATATATGCTGTGTGCAGGCATTTGTTTGGGGAAGCAGGTGGGGAGAACCCTAATTTTAATGCTAAATTTCTAGTAGTATCCATTTCTTCATAAGAATAAAGAACAAATGGGCAGCTCCGGTTCCTTAATGACACCAATATTTTGCCCACAGTTACCTATTTCTCAATGATACTAGATCCAATAAGAAAGAAGGCCTGAGTTTACTATGAACACAAGTAGGAAATGTGACTGTGGCAGAAGCTGGGATTTTGCCCTTGGAAAGGGCTTCTAGGCTTGATGTATTCTATGCAGCCAGCAGATTGCTGGAATTTAGACATGCTGTGTTTGGGTTTATCTTCCTCTTATTGCTCTCTATTGCCCGTTGACTTTAATGTATATACTTATAAATAGAGTGAGGGAAAAAGTCTCTATCAAAGTATCTCCATAAAACCTAAGATCATACCCAAACTTTCTATTAGGGTGTCCATTATAAATTAAATAACTAAAATAAATAATGCATTGCTAATGAAAAATTTTTTGTTTTTTGTTTTGTATTTAAGGTAGTAAAAACATGACCTCAGTGATTTCCTCTTAGTAAAATGTTAATCTCTCAAATATGGGTAAAATTCCATTTAGAGGGAAGGTTTGGTATCCTACATAAAAACATAACAAGCATGCAAACATAAAATTCTTAAATACAAAAAATTCAAGTGACCATATCCTTACTGATACTAATGTAACACAAATAAAATTACAATGAACAAATTAGCACAAAATTCAATTAATTTTTTGTTAATACAACGAAACATTTGATACTCAAATTTTAACCACTATAGCATGGACTTCTGAATGAGGTTCATAAATATACATGTGCTTCTTAGTAGAGTGTGGTTTTTGCAAATGGTTTTAATTCTAACCCACAACAGTTTGACTTTTCATTTCAGTTGTTTATAGTAAGAAATTAGGAGAAAAGTTAAATTTCTGACACTTGGATCAGTCAGGAAATAGCTAAGTGTTATTCTTTTGTACATTTGGTAAGAAGCTATTCTAAAACTGCTGTTTAATGACCTGTTTCTCTAAATAAAAGCCCTTAGACAATAATCTACTCTCCTAATTAAAGGAGACTATTCTAACCTTTTCTCCAATTCTATTTTAACGGAAAGAGCCAAATTTATTAATTTTTAATGGCTTCCTTTATACTTTGTATTTTTTAAGATGCCAGCAATATTACTTTCTATAACATACAGAGCAGCATTAAACGTATTCAGCTAGTACTGGCATATAGATTTTTCAATGAAATCAGTGTTTAGACGTGTGAAAGCAAACTAACCATCATATTTACGGCCCTTTTTTGGTTTTGTTTTTAAAGCTATTTGGGTTTACATCAAAGTGTTCCTAGTGAGGAGAAATGATGTACTGTATTGAAAACTGAGACTTCATGAGTATCTTCTTAAACTGGCTCCCAAGAGCTTTACGAACCAACGGATCTTCACCACGTGTTATTCTCAGGGTCAGTCCCTCAGTACCACATGAAGCCTTGGACAAGGATCCTTCAGTATTATTGATAACTTAAGTACCTTGGATTGAATCCAAGATGGATATGTGTTATAAATGATTCTGCTTTGTAGTAAAATATATTTAAAGTAAAACTCAATGTACTTACCATAAAGCTTGTAAGTAAAGGTACTCCTTTGAAACCAAAAATCTGATGCTGCAGAAGCAGGAGTCAGTTCTCTCTACTATAGCTTAGTGTGGCTAATTTGATACTACTTCCTTAGTCCTGTGGAATTTTCTGGCAATTTTAACATATTACAATAGTGACTTGGCACCAATATAGGTCTATAAAAACAACTGTCACAAGTCACACAAAAACATGATAACTATCACAAATTTCTGCACAACTTCAAAAAACAGTCTTTGGGTAACTAACTATAATGTATAATGCTCCAGAGAATCCAAAGAAGCACTTTAAATGACATATTATTTGGCAATGGTAAATGAGAATTATTTTCTAAAAAAGCTGTACCAACATCAATTTTAAGTAGAACATAACTTGACATTATTTCATGAAATATAGTCTCGTTCTATGCTCTCCTGACAACACTCCCAACAGAAAGCATCCAGTCTATTAGCTGTTTCTTGGCTGATGAGACATTCATCCTTTAATTCCCTGATTGTCTTCCTCAATGATTTTTGAAAACGTTTTTCTCGGTCTAAAACATTCCGTAGGCTTTCCTTGGTATCCTCTAGCTCGCTGATCACGTGATCTAATTTATGCTTAAGTTTCTTTGGACTGTCCATTACACTGTAGCTATGTTCCTAAAAACATAAACATCAAGTTATTAAATCATACTTACAAGTAGTTAGATAGAAATTTATAACTAGGTCTCAGTTATTTCTTCATTTTTGATGCTTAGAGAACATCTTTAAGTTGGTGATATTTATGGGCTTAAAGTACATAGGAAGAGGAGAGGGGTAGAAGCAATATTTAGGGAGCCAAGGGCCTCTCTCCTTTTACCAAGGCTAGGCATACATGAAGAGTGCAGAGCATTATGGATGGGAAGCACCTCTCTTCTGGGAGTAGATCTCTGCTGTGAACATCATGACACTTGTAATGACTATACAGCTTTTGTTATTTAAGTGTGGTGCCAGTAAGTTTAATTTTTATCTATCAAATAAATTTAAATTGTTAAATTTTAAACTGAGTTATTTTATTTTGATGACGATTTAATTTTATAAGGGATGACAGGAAAAGAGCACTAGAGTACGTTCTCAGTCTGGGTGTTAGAGATTTAGAGAGGACTTAGGTCTTGAAATTTTGAAAAGATAATATAACTCTTCTCAACATTTATTATGGTTATGCTTAACTCATTCGCGATTGCTGATGTGCATTTATGCCATTCCAAAATCTGTTCCTGGTTGCTACTGCAGTGAATTTACGTATTTGCAAATTCTGTTTCTGAATGCTGCAAAGTTGTTATATGTATGTGTTGTTATATTTTGCTTGAAAAATAGCGAGGCAAGGAGAGATAATTGAGATAATTATCTGATATCGACTGTGCAATGTTGTTATTGATTTACATAGATGGTAAAAATTGCAAGTGGGTCATTATTTTGTTGCGATTAGTGTTGTGTACTTATATTTTGATATTTCAGGGCTTTCATGCTTCAACGTTAAAAATAATTTACCATAATTATGGAAAATGGAGAAATAGATGCTGATAAGATTTCTGAGTTCGAAGGTGAATCCAGTGAACTTATTAGTGATAGTGAGACAGACAGTGATGTAATGACGCAATGTAAATGGAGAGAGAGAGAGATATATAATATATATTCGGTTTATAATCTGAATAAAAATACAAAGTACGGAATGACAGAGTGGTGCCTGAGGTAAATCCTGGATATGTCTGCAACTTTCAGCTGTACTGTGAAAAAGGTGACAAGTTAGAAAAGGCCAATTTCACTTGTGCTTAATGACAGAAGTATGCGGCAACCAGCTCTCAGTATTAGGAAAGTGAAAAATTTGCCAATTGCGAATGTGTTAAGTTTGCTGGGTATGCTTTTATTCTTTTTCTTTTCTTTCTTCTTTTTTGAAGTCTCACACTGTTGCCCAGGTTGGAATGCAGTGGCATGCTCATGGCTACCACATGGCTAACCTGCTGGGATCAGGCAATCCTTGCCTCAGCCTTCCAAGTAGCTGGAACTACAGGTGTGCTCCATCACACCTGGCTAATTTTTTGATTTATTGTAGAGACAAAGTCTCACCAAGTTTCCCAGGCTGGTCTCAAACCCCTGAGCTCAGGCAATCCTCTTGCTTCTGCCACCCAAAGTGCTGGGATTATATGCATGAGCCACTGCACCTGGCCTTTTCATTTAAAAATAGAGAAAATAACACTAACATATATTATAAAGGCACTAGCAAATAATTTTGAAAAGCTGTTATTTAAGATTAAAATTAGTGTAGAGAACTTTTGCTTCCAGCCGAGATGAATTAACAGAGACTATATAGACTCTTACCTAAAAGAACCAACAAATGGCCAAAAGACATAAAACAGCTGGACTCGGTGGCTCAGCTTGTAATCCCGCGCTTTGGGAGGCTGAGGTGAGTGGATTGCCTGAGCCTGTGGGTTCGAGACTCGCCTGGGCAACTTGGCGAGACCTCATCTCTACAATAAAAAAATCAAAAAATTAGCTGGGTGTGGTAGCACGCGCCTGTAGTTCCAGCTACTTGGAAGGCTGAGGCAGAAGGATCGCTGGAGCCCAGAAGTTCGAGGCTGTGGTGGCCGGGAGCGGCCACTGAACTCCAGTCTGGGCGACAGTGAGACTCCAACTCAAAAAAAAAAAAAAGACATAAAACAGTTTTTTTGAGATAATGGTTATAGGCAAGGAAGGCAGCTGTTGTAGAGAGATGGGAAACACAGAGTCCTATGATTGCCCCAACTTACTGCCTGGAGTTTCTAGGCTTCAGTGCAAGGAGGGGGAACCCAGACAGAGTTTGGCAGACTGAGTTGAGCAGACAGCACAAAACGTCCAGGGAGACCAAGGTAACCACAGTTCACAGGACAACACACTAGAGAGAAGGGAGCTACCCAGAGAAAATGCTCAAGATTTCAGAGGCTGCCTCTTGAATATTTCACTGAGTGAGATCAGCACCAGCATGTGAGAAAACTACTCAAGGCTGAGGAAAGAACAACCAGAAAAGATTAGGAGTGCTCTGTGCTCACAGGGCATGTGCACAGAACACCAGTCAGATTCACAAGATGCTGAGTATACAAAATGGTCTTGCCTCAAGAGTGAAGAACAAACAGTCCTTCATACTGAGCACTTTTCCAGTCTTGTCAAACAAAGCAAAATCTGAAAGGATCAAACTGTTTTTAAATAACTGTACCCCAGAACAATGCTCAAAAAAATACAAAATATCTATCATCTAGCAAATTAAAGTGCATAACATATGGCATGCAAAATTCACCTGGTATGCAAATAAGCAGGAAAATATTAGCCATAATAAATTAATCAATGTAAACTAACCCAGAATTGACAAAAAATTCGAATTAGCAGAAAAGAGAATTAAGAGTTATTAAAACTGTATTCCCTATAGCCCAAAAGTTAAGTACATAAAAGATGTAAAAAAACTCAAGTAGAACATCTAGAGATAAAAACTACCATGTGTGAGGTGAAAAATACACAGGAGAGAACGGCATAGTCAACATTTTAGAAGAAACAATTAGTGAATGCGAAGACACAATAATAAGAACGCTCCAGTATGGACTACAGACAGAAAATGGGACAGAGGGAAAAGAACAAAACATCAGCAACCTGTTGCACAACTTCAGACAGCCTAATATACATGTAATCGGAGTTCCTGAAGAAGAGAGAATTTGGGATAGAAAGGAATATTTAAGAAGTCATGGCTAAAGTTTTTCCAAGTTATCCACTCAATGAAAAAGCTCAACAAATCCCAAAGAAACATAAAAAACGAAACCAAAATATATCATCATCAGATTAGTCAAATCCAACAGAGAAGAAAAATTCTTAGAAGAAAAAAAAGAAATGTTAGGTACAGAAGATAAAGATGAGTATATAGTAAATTTTTCATTAGAAACAATGCATGAGAGGGTACATATTTACAAGAACTAAAAACAAAAACCCCAAAATAATCAACCTTGAATTTCACATCTAAAGAAAATATCTTGAAAAAATGAAGACTAAATAATGACTCAGATACAGAAATGTTGAAAAAATTCATCTCCAGCATAGCTGCACTACAAGAAATTTAAAATAAGTCCTTTAGACAAAATGATACCAGGTAGAAATATGAACTTACACAAAGGAATGAAAAGCCGGCTGGGTGTGGTGGCTCATGCCTGTAATCCCAGCACTTTGGGAGACTGAGGCAAAAGAATTGCTTGAGCTCAGGTTTGAAACACCTGGGCAACTTGGTGAGACCTCGTCTCTACAATAAATCAAATCATTAGTCATGTGAGGTGGCACGTGCCTGTGGTTCCAGCTACTTGGAAGGCTGAAACGAAGTATTGCTTGGGTCCAGCCTGGGTGACGGTGAGACTCTGACTCAAAAAAAAAAAAGAGGAATGAAAAGTCTCAGAAATGTTAACTACATAAGTAATATATAAATTTTTAAAAATAATTTGAATCTCTTTAAAAGATAACTTACTGTTTAAACAAAAATAATAACAATGTGGTGTAGGATATATAGCATATGTAAAAGTGAAATATATGACAGCAATAGCACAAAGGTTGAGAAAGGAGAATTAAAAGTATAATAATTCTTATATGAGAAGTGGAATATAATCACTTGAATGTAGCCTGTGATAAGTTAAAGATCTATAAACTGACAAACTACTACAATAGAACAAAGATTTATAGCTAATGAGTCAAAAAAGGAGATAGGATAGAATTATAAAAATGTATTTAATTAATCCAAAAGAAAGCACAAAGAGGAGAAAATGGAATAAAAGCAAATGGAACAAACAGCAAACACAAAGGAAGACAACAGATTTAACACTATTATAGCAATCATCACATTAAGTGTATAACCCAATTAAAAAGGCAAAAATTACCAGATTAGGATAAAAAAAGCACAAGACCCCAAAGTACGTGCTACCTACAAAAAATGCACTTCAAAGATAAAAAAGATACGAATAGGTTGAAAGTAAAAGAATGGGAAAATATATACAACCATAACACTAATAAAAAGAGCTACAATAGGTATAGTCTTATCATCAAAATTGATTTCAGAGGAAAGAATGTTACCAGGGATAATGATGCAATTTCTTAGTAATAAAAGGACTAGTTTATTAAGATATAACAATCCCAAATGTTTATGTACCTAATAACATTGCTGCAAAATAAATAAATATAAACAATGACTGACAATTGCAAGAATTAGACAAATCCATAAAACAAGGAGACAGAAACTCAGGATAAAGAAGACTTGAACACCACTATCAAAAAACATGATGTAATAGATATTTGTAGAACATTCCAAGTAATACAAGAGGAACACACATTCTTTGCACATGCATACAGAACATTTACCAACACAGGTCATATTCTGAGCTATAAAATACATCTCAACAAATTTAAAAGATGGGAGACTTGCTTGAGGCCAGGAGTGCAAGACCAGCCTGGGCAACGAAGTGAGGCTTCTACAAAAAATACTGCACTTCAGCATGGGCGACAAAGTGAGACCCTGTCTCAGAAAAAAATAAAAATAAAATTAAAAAAAGCTATACAATGTATATTCTCTGACTATAACAGAATTATATTGGAAATAACAGAAAGATACCTAGAAAATTCCCTAATATTTAGAAACCATATAACACACTTCAAAATAACTCATGGGTCAAAGAACAAATGGAATTTGAAAGTACTTTTAAACTGAATGACAATGAAAATACAACATATTTAATTTTTCAATGGTGTTAAAGCAATTCTTGGGGAGAAATTAATTCCACTAGATGCCTACACTAGAAAAAAAATGCCTCAAATGATATCAACGTTCACCTTAAGAAACTAGAAAACGTTGGGTAAATTTTACTGAAATAAGAAGAAAATAATAGAGGTAAGTGGAAATCAGTGAAGTAGAAAACAAAAAAGAAAATCAACAAAAGCTAGTTCTTTGATAAGAGCAAGAAAATTGATATGTCTATAGGTAGACTGATCAGTAAATAAAAGAGAACAGAAACTGACTGCACCAGAAACAAGGCAGATGACATCACTATGGACTCTGCAGATATTAAAAGAATTAACAAGGAAATGTTATGAACAACTGTGATGAAATGGACAAATTCTTTGGAAGATACAAGCTACAAAAAAAAACCAAAAAAACAAAAAAAACCAACCTTTCCCATAAAGAAAACTATAGTCCAGATAGTATCACTGGGGGAATTCTATCAAATATTTATAAAGTAAATAATACCAATTATATAGAAGCTCTTCCAGAAAATTGAAAAAATTGGCAATATTTTCCAACTCATTATTTGAGGTCAGCAGTATTCTTCCGATACTGAAATCTGACAAAGATGTAAAAGAAAAAACTCTGAAGGCTAAATATCTCTCTTGAACATACAAGGAAAGATTAAACAAAAATTTAACAAATCTAATCCAACAATATATGAGGGATAATGCATCATCAGGATAGTTTATTCCAGGAATACAAAGCCAGCTTAACATTAGAAAAAGCAATCAGTATAACTCATCACATTAGCTAAAAGAGAAAAATCATATGCTCTCCCAATAGATACTTAAAGACATTTGACAAACTAACATCCATTTCTGATAAAAACTTTTAGCAAACTAGGAAAAGAAGGGCACTTAACCTGGCAAAATGCACTTATGAAAAACCCACAGCTAACATGTTTAACAGTGAAAGACTGACTATCTTCCTCCTAAAATCTGGAACAAGGAATGGGGAACCTAAAATGGCCTAAATAACTTTGGAAAAGAGTAAAGCTGGAGGACTGACACCGCCTGATTTTAAGAATTATCAAGCTACATTAATCAGGATAGCACAACAGACAGGCCTGTCTCTAACACGAACGGGCAATGTGATGGATAAATAAATGCAAGTTTGAATACTCTGTACGGGTGTGACTATTTTTCAAGAAAATCTAAAGAAGTAGCTATTTTTTAATTAGGTATTTCCATATGGAAAATATAGCAAAGGGAAGAATTAATTATTTTCTTGCTAGAAATATCGTTGCAAAAAGCATTCTCTGGACTAATTATGTAACTAAAGGATTAACTACCACTGTATTGCTATTGCATACATATAAATTACAATGATCCTGGAAAAAAGTATTATTTGTGGATATGACATACAAGAAAAAATCTCAAACAACTAAGCACCTAGAGTTTTGCTAAAATTCTGAGAAGTCTGATCCTGATGGAGAGCACATATTCATCTTAGAGTATGAACATTAGCCCAGTAAGTAATTTTACTTACAAAAATGAACTGAGATTGGAATTCTTCAATACATGAGGAAGCACCAACAAGCTGGTGACTGTGGTTTGTGACTGGAAGGGTTTTGAGAGTGAAGTTTTTTCTACAATGAAGTTTTTCTCTTTTCCCCTGTTAAGAACAGTTAATAACAATCATTGAGATACTTTTGTCCCTTCTTAAATTTTTATTCCTTTTTAACCTTTTGTAATAGAATCAGTACCACGTTTTCCCCCCCATGGACATTGCTTTTAAAAGTTAATACATTCCACTCAGGTTATTTTAAAATAACTTTCTGAAAACAATTCTAAAGTTCATCTGAAAACAAATTTTCCTAAAAATGAAGAGTGACAATGAGAGAGGACATATCCTACAAACTCCCAGGACACAGTAACAAGACTTAAAAGAGTGTGCTACTTTCTTAGGGTCAGACAATACTCTTATAAATAGATCAAGTAGATAAATACACTCAGGGTAAAGGTGGCATTCTAAATAAGGAGAATACGGCTAAAAATCATGCTGTAAAAATCAACAAATCAAGAAAAGCAGTTATAGTCTTTATGTCTAGTAAACCACAATGAAATTCTATGTACTGAAAATTTATGTAAAAAAGAAAACTACGAGGAACTGGAAAAAATATAGACAGTATTTATATAACCTTAAAGTGTGGAAGGCTAAAGTCATACAACATAAGAGAAAATATAAAATTGAGTACATTAAACAAAGCCTGAATTTCAAAAAAATAAAACAAAGCGATAAAACAAAACCAATGCCTTATTCAGAACTAAAGACAAACAACAAAAATTAACCAGGAAGGGACATGGGAGGTGGAGAGGAAAAAAGTAACTAACATAGATAAAAGTAAATGATTAATATCCTCAATATCCAGTGTTTTTACAAAACAGCACAGAAAAAGATAATATAAGAGGACCTGAATTAGTCACAAAAGAAATTCAAATACCGAATAAACACATGAAAAAATGTAGACCTCACTAGTGTTTAAAGATAAATTAAAACAGTAAGATGCCATTTTTGCCTATCAAATTTAGAAAAATTCAAAAACAACTTCCAAGGATTAGGATAGATAGTCACTTTTATGCATGACCAATAGGGAAATAGATTGGGGCAAGATTTCTGGCGAGTCTTTGGGAGACCTGTCTCACAAGCAAAGCTTTACACACATATATAATCTTTGATCGAACTGTTTTATTTCCAAGAATTCAAGGAAGTAAGGATATGAGCCAGCTAAAATGTTCATTCTGGTGCTATGTAAAATACCGAAAGATGACAGCCTACATACAATAGTGAGAAGTGATTATATAAACTGTGGTTCATATGCAAGGACAACTGCTATATGGTCATTAAAAATTGTTTCATGAAACTGACACTATCAAGAACTGGTGAGAATGTGGAACCAAAGAAACTTTTATAAGCTGCCAGTGGGGCTATGAACTTGTAAGACCACTTTGGAAAACTGGCAACATGCACAACCCTAGGACCTAAAAATTCCCACTTCTAACAGGGTATATGTATATCCTACAGAAATGTATACATAAGTGCACTGAAAGACAAGGACAAAAATGTTCCTAGCTGTACCATTAATCACAGCCCCAAAGCAAAAAACAACCAAAATGATAATAAATATTAGAATGGAGAAATTAGTTCATTCATACAATGGCATACTATATAGCAAAGAAAATACGTGGACTGCCCATGCTACAATGTGGATGAATCACTCAACAAAATGCTGAGCTATGGAAGCCAGAGTACCCATTTATTTATATAACTGATACTGATAGAAGTCAGTCTCCTTGTAGAAATCTTTCATCTCCTTGGTTAAATAGATTCCTAAGTATTTTAGCTTTTTGGCTGCTATTGTAAATGGAATTGAGTTCTTGATCTGATTCTCAGCTAGATCACTATCGGTGTATAGCAGTGCTAATACACAGTATGTCCATATAACAAACATGCATGTGTACTGCCTGAATCTAAAATAAATGTGATACAATGTTTCTTACTTTCTGAAAACAGAATAAAACTATTTCAGGAGAGACAAGTCAAGAATAAGTTGTGTTTTGATAACTTGAGTCAGCTCTAATGACACTTATCTTGACAAGAGTTATAGTTGGAATGCTAAGAACTTTGCAGCCTTATTGAGATTTTGTTTGCATAGGAATGAACTTACTTTTTCAAGGACACAATATCTAGATTCAAGGATTCAGTGTGGGAATGTGTGCAGAAATTGAATGCTCTTTCTATTTGGGAATTCCATGGAGCAGAATTGTCAATACAATATTGACAATCTTTATTTGGTAAAGAATTCCAATCAAGAACCTATCTACCAAGAAAAAAGCCTCCTCCAAAGTAAGACTGGGCTAGTCTTCAGTCAAGTTGGGATTTTTTTTTTTTAACTTTTCACATAGGCTCACCTAGCAAAAAAGATGCTCATTCCATTATTTCACATGAAGCCTATTTCTCCATCATTACCTACTACTTTGGCCATTGCTCTCCACACTCCAGCTATACAGACTTACTTTCCATTTCTTAAGTAAGCAGATATGAAATAGTATAATCCCATAACCTTTCCCCTTGTTGTTTCTTCTGATTGGAATAGCAATTTATAGACTTGTATATGTGTCTTATTCTATCCTATGTGATGTAAATTCCATACCATTAACCCAGAGAGATCTTCCCTGACCATACTTTCTAATTTTAACTTTACAGGCAATATCTTATTATTTTATTATATTTTCCTCATGCTACTTAGTATTATGTGGAACTTTATACCTATCTGTATTTACTTGATGACCAGACAAGAATGGAAGCTTTATTACCTATGACTTTGTATGTCCTGAGAATGTACAGTATATTCAAATGATGGCATTACTAAATGTTAACTCATATAGAACTCTTAAAAAGAAAAAGAAATCAGAATAGTAGCTACCTTTGGGGGAGTAGTGACTGGGGAAGTGTACAAGGGAGGCTTCTGGGCACTGGTAAAATATATTGGTCTGAGGGGTTACATGAATGTTCTCACTTTATGAAAATTCACTGATTTGTATACTTGTGATATGTGCACTTTTCCACATATATGTGACACTTCAATATAAAGTTTAGTTTAAAAAAGTGACTGTCTATATAGGTTTCTCTTAGACATGTAATCCATAGATCTGCAGCACAATCATGTGAGTGCTTATTAAGAAATATAGATGCCTATATTCCTACCCAAACTTACTGAAGAAAATTCTCCAGGAGGCAGAGAATTCTATATTTTAAACAAACTCTCTGGATAATCCTTAAGTAGACTAAAGTTTGAAAGTCATTGTTGTGGGAAGATAGTCAATGTCATAGAATGTAAGAGTTAATAGTGGACTGTGAAGCCAAAATGCCTGGTTCAAATTTAGCTACCACCTAGAATCTAGCTGTGTGACCCTAGGGAAGGCATTCTAGCTCTCTGGTCCTCAGTTTCCTCAAGTGATAAAAGTAGAATAATAATAATAGTACTTTCCTCATATGATTGTTCAAGGACTATATGAGTTAATATATATGTAAAGTACTTAGAATAGTGCATGCCACATAGTAAGCACTATATAAATACAAAAAACCCAAAAAAGCAAATAAAGGATATAGAGTGTAATTTTACTTTCATAAGATCATCTATACAAGTATAAATGAATTTATGTAAAACACACAAATGACTGAAGATGTTCACAGTATTATCTTTGGATTATATGATTATTACTTTTTATTTTATTTTTCCTTCTATAATCTAACTTCCTATACATAAAAAATTTCTTTGTTGTAAGGAAATAGTTTTTGAAAGTTAGTAACTCATGGTTTATTTGCTCATGCCTACATTTCTTTTTGACTTCTACATTTCACTTTATTTTATTTTATAACTGGTCAGAAATTTGAAGAGGTGCTAATTTCCTTTATTCTAAAGGCCGTAAAAGCTTTTTTAAAAAAACCCTTGAATTCATGGAGACATGTGCAGGGTTTTTACATGGGTATATTGGTGAGGTTTGATGCCCACATTTCTTAACACATTCACAACCGGCAAATTTTTCACTTTCCTAATACTGAGAGGGAGAAAATAAAAAAAAATCTGAAGCTGGTTGCCACAAACTTCTATTGTTAAGCACAAGTGAAATGGTCTTTTCTAAACTGTCACTTTTTCATAATGCAGCTGAAAGTTGCAGACATATCCTGGATTTGCCTCAGACACCACTCTGACTAGCATTCTATACTTTGTATTTTTATTTGGCTTATAAACCTGAAAAGACTGTCTTCCATGACGAGGTAAATTCACATCAGCAGCAACCGAGAACAGAATTTGGAATGACATAAATTCATGTCAGTGGTCGCGAAAGAGATAAGGTCCCCTTAAGATTATAACTAGGTGACATCTGGCTGGTAGGGAAAAAAAATCTTTAGAGTAAATTGCACAATATATTGTACATTTATTAATATGGAGGCAGTCTCTACTTGATCACTCAGGTTCTATAATATGACCAACTGCAGAAAGTGTCCAGGACTGCTTGGGATGAGGAACACTTTTGGCTACTTCCCTTGTTTCCAGCTGTTTTTCAGTAGAGGCTCTTCCTGAGTTTTCCACATTGGAATCAACCAACCAGTCTATAGTTTCTGGAAGCAAATTCACTTTCAGGTATGTGACCTTGAGAGAGCTATTGGACATAAGGCAGACAACCCATGACAGTATCACCGAGAAAAAATTAGAATTCAATTAGAATTTACTTATTTAACCCTTCTATTTTCTTTTTCTTTCTTTCTTTCTAGAGACAGAGTCTTGCTCTGTTATCAAGGCATAATCACAGGTCACTGTAACCTTGAACTCCTAGGCTCAGGTGAACTTTCCCGCCTTAGCATGCCAAATAGCTGGGACTACAGGTTCATCACAATGCCCAGTTAATTTTTTTGTTTTTACTTTTGGAGTCTTGTTATGTTGTCCAGGCTGATTTCCTCTTGGCTTCAAGCAAGCAATCCTGCTGTGATTAAAGGCATGAGTTGCCACACCAGGACTCTATTTTATTTTTCTTACCTCTTCTCTCCTTTTCTTCTCCTGTTTTTATCTCTCTTTTTTCATTTTCTTCCTTTCTGTCTTACCTATGCTTTAAGCTTGCATGTACATGGCTGTTATACAAGTATACTTTGATGCTGTTAGCGGTTCTGCTTTTGACTTCGGCTCTTTAGTGTTGAGAACTGCCAACTCAGAACTGCAGTTGAAACTTTTTATTTACTCTCCATGTTTTGGACATAAATGTTGAGTTATTTTAATTCCTAAAGTCAACTTGCTTCACTAAACCTTAGTAATGTACAAATATATTATGAGTGGCTACTGGTAAAATACTATTAAACTTACAAAAGCTAAAGCTGCAGACTACCAATTTAAAATTCAAAAGACTTCAAATGAACAGGCAAACAATAAAAATGTTAGCAGGAGTGGTGAAGGTTCTTCAATAGTATCATAAAAAGTGAGAAATGATGATAAGCAGTATGTCATAAACAAACCTGTAAGTGATATGGGGAATCAAAGATAGAAGGAACGACTCCAGGTTTCAGTTTAATATTTGGAGCACTTCTGTCAAAATCTGTCTTCTTAAAGTGCCTGGAACACAACACATCTCCTTTTTTAGGCTCCCACATGTCTGCTGCATTCACATCAAGTCTTTTCATTGCTAATACCCATTTTCTTTTGACATTTTCATCTGTGGGGAATCTAGATAAAACCACACAAAAAATTTTAAATTAATAAACACTATTGATTTAATGTTATCTATATAATACTTGAATTAAAGTTGTCATACAATTGTGGCTAAACGGATTCCTAAACTATTTTGTTATTACTCTTGGGAATGGCAATATTCAGGAAAGTGTATTTCATACTTTTGTAATTTTCAGTTTTAATATTCAGATTTGTCTGTCAAACATGTTGCAAACATACGGCCCTCATTTCATTTTTCTCTTTATTATAAGGAAGAAAAGTTTCAATGGCTATATAGCACTTTATAGTAAGATTCATAATTAAAGGTATTTCTTTACCTACAGATGATAAAGAATATTGCTTGGGCCTTTTCCCATCTGACATGATATATGGAATGTATCCTCAATGAATAGGGCCCCTTGTACTTCTATTTTTCTGTCTGCATCAGAAAACTGTTTTACACAGCATTTAATACAGAGGTCTATAAATGCAGAATAAATGCAGAGGACATCTGCAGAGTGTGGACTTCTGGAGATCAGAACTATTATAAGAGATCTAAAGGCCAGTAACACTATCTTTGCCAAGTTTCAAGCTGGTTCAGTTCCTGCTGGATAAGATAGGGTGTACATGCTCATTTTTATCTCCTTATATCCAACAAAGTAGTTAGCAGATCTTTCTCTAGTACATAGCACAATGCCTGGCACAAAAGCAGCAAAGTAAACCTTTGGCAAATGAGCACTTAGTAAATCTTACTACTTTTTCCTATGGCTGTCAGGAGAATGGCTAAAACACTCGATTTATCTGCAGCACAGCTAAAAAATCCTGAAATTGTCATTTATATTTTTTCTCTACAACCTATGCTTGATTTATTTCTAAACAGAAAGGACAATATAGTCAAGCAAAGATTCTTCATTCAGATTGTAAACTACATGTCAACACTGAATTTCTTTGAAAGTATGTTAAAATACAGAGTAATAAATCAGCAAAAGTGAGTCTGATGACATTTTTTTGTGGGTCTTGGATACCTTTGGAGGTATCTTAAATTTTTTTTTTTTTTTTTGGTGCACGCTGGAGTGCAGCAGGACGCTCACGGCCATCGCAGCCTTGCCCCAATGGGCTCAGGCATCCTTCCACCTCAGCCTTCCAAGTAGCTGGAACCACAGGCGTGCACCACCACGCCTGGTTAATTTTTTAATTTACTGTAGAGACAAGGTCTCGTCAAGTTGCCCAGGCTGGTCTCTAACCCATGGGCTCAGGCCATCCTCTCGCCTCGGCTTCCCAAAGCACTGGAATGACAGGTGTGAGCCACCGCACCCGGCCAAAACGTTGAAATAAAACTACAAACATGTAAAGCTATCGCTGCCGCTTCACATGTGACAAAGAGGCGCTTTACAAAGGGGGTGGGAGCGCAAGTTCACAAGTGCTTTCGACAACACGTCCGAAGGGCGAGGCTGTGTCCCGCGGAGGCTTACACGTGAAACGTTAGCCCTCTCAGCTTGGAATTGGGCAAACAGCGGGAGGCGCATCCGATGGCCGAGCAGCATTTCACCATGTCAGCGGCTCATCCCAGCACTGGAAGGAAGAGCGCAGCGTCAGTGACTGGAACCCAGAGACGTCTGTCCCCCCGCCAGGGGTGCTTCGGGACCAGTGCCGCCGGGTCAGCGAGCGGAGGGAGGCAGCTCCTCCCGCCC